GGTCTAAGAATTCCCGGAAGATCCGGTTCATCAAGTCCATAAAGACTGCCGGTGCATTGGTAAGCCCGAATGGCATCACCAGAAACTCATAATGGCCATACCGCGTACCCAGTACTTTTGCAGGCCTTAAGGGTCCGCTCGAGCGGAGAAGCTTACGCTCGAGCGGGGGACCTGTTTCCTGGAATTTTGTTCATGCGTTCTGTGTTTCGTTTTCCGTTCTCTTTCACTCGTAAGCACTCTTAGGCATATGTTAAACATTGTAAATGAGTTAATGAGATAGAAATCAAGCCTAAAGAGAAATATGTGCATTAAAGAACGGATTGAACTGTTAATGACCCTTTTGTATTCATGAAATGTCTAGGGTCAAGCTCCAGGGCGCATCCACAAACCGATCACTGTGAGTAATATCAATATTTGAAAGCTTGTCAATATCCAATTGTTATTCCCTTATAAACTTTATGAGTTGTTAATTGGGATTGTGGATAAAAGTCTGACAGGAGTAAATGAATGGACCAAAGGTCGTTTTGATAAGAACGAATGGACCGAAGGTCGTTCTGAAGTAAATGAATGGACCGAAGGTCGTTCTGAAGTAAATGAATGGACCAAAGGTCGTTTTGATAAGAATGAATGGACCGAAGGTCGTTTTGATGTACAGGAATGGACCAAAGGTCGTTTCGACATGAATGAGTGGGCCGAAGGCCGTTTTGACATGAAAGAGTGGACCAAAGGCCGTTTTGACATGAAAGAGTGGGCCGAAGGCCGTTTTGACATGAATAATTGGGCCGAAGGCCGTTTTGACATACGTGAATGGGCCGAAGGCCGTTTTGCCATGAATGGGAACCCGAATGGGCCAAAGGCCAGAATGTTTGGAACTACTTGATTTGAATTTTGTATAGTTATATATATATTCGTTAAATAGAAGTATGAATTGGGCCCAAGGCTGTTTGGAGCATGTTGTTCTACATATTGTTATGCAACTGTCATATTTGATATTATTCATTGGGCTATCGCTCACGCTCATTCATGTATTTGTAGATGAGCCGAGGGAAGTCCAAACCCAGCCCCAGTGAAGTCTGCTAGGAAAAATCCGAGTTTTGAGGAAGTCAGCCTTGCGTCTCACTCTTGAGACCTATCCTTGCATTTGCTATGTAATTACATTTTGTCTTGCCAGCGGGGACTTTATGTATCTATGTAAATAGTTGTCATAGGTTGACTTGTTTTGGATGATCCTGTCTGTAATGAATTTTGTGAAAACTGTACTTTTGAACTGTGGGTTATTAACGTAACTGAATATGGTCTGTTGATGTGCATATAAGCACGGCTCTATGGACAAAGTTTTTATTTGTTGCTTCTGTTTGACCCCTTTACTCTGACAAATTATGTCTGTTTTGGTCTGAGGCCGTAGGTAATCTCAGGATTACTGGCCGATTATGTCCTTAACCCATGGGGGCGGGTTCGGGTCATGACATGTCTGCTTGGATTTTCTTAAGTTGCTTCAGTACAGCCTCCTCCTCGAGTAGCTTTTCCTTCTGCCTTTCCGCTTCTTTGTCCTTCTCGGACGCCTCTAGCTGGTCTATGTGTGGGGGCTTGAAGTACTGCCCACTCCTGGTCATATGGTCAACCTCCTCAACATACCAGGTGTCATCCGGTTGGTTCTGCCCCCAATCTTCGTCAGTGTGGGCAAGACATAAGTTGTCGTCTTCCCACCACATCCCGTTGGCAACCGACAGACAGTTGTCAGGTTTCGTTTCAACTGTTCCTGTGCTCACAGCACATTCCATCCCCGTAGGGGCTTTGGCCTTCCTAGCCCTCTCAAGATCCTCAATCTTTTCTTGTTTAAGACGCTTCAATGCAACCTCCTGTTCAGTGCCTACTGTACTCAAACTGCCCAGATCCTGAGTAAAATTCTTAGCACCGGTGCTCTCCGGCGATCCCTCCTAATTCTCGGCCATTCTGGCCACTGCTGATATCCCAGCTTCTGATTGCCCTCTTTCTGGCTAAGGTGTCTCAACAACATCTAGCTCGTCGCTGACCCATCCAAGTCGAACCAGTTGATAGTCATGTCCCCCAAATCCTGTTCATTGAAGAACTGAAGGTTGGCAATATCATCTTCCAGCTCTTCTAGGTCATCTAACTCCTGACTAGGTCCATCCTCCCGAACCACACTGATCTCTGCCCCAACCGACAACTCTACTATTGGCTTAGCCTGGTCTGTTGATGTAATGTAACCACTCGGGTTGTACGCAAAGCTTGCAGACCCCTCAGGCCCTGAATCAACATTTCCATCTGCCTCGAAAGTCATCCTGATTCTGTCTTCGACAGTTACCACCACCGGTTCGGGTTGGGTTAGGGAGGTGCTCATCATGCACAAATCCATGCTGTCTGGGATGAACACCTCAAGCTTGGATAGGTAGAAGGGTGTGATGTATATGCTTGGGCCATATGGAATGGCCGCAGTTTGGATCAGGTTGACGTGTTTGAGAGGTGGAGCTTGGTTATATGGTGGGAGTGGGTTGGTGGTGACATTCGGCTTTTCTAGAGGCACGATCACCTTGTTGCCGATGAGATCTTGAATCTCATGACGAAGTTTGAAGCACTGGTCGACCATGCTGTTGGTGAAAGGCACAGTATTTGGTCGGGTTATGAGTTGGTGAGAGGTTATTTGGTAATGGCCGCGGCTCTAGAGGCTTCAGATGCCCCTTCTTGATTAAAACCCTCAGAGCTTTGGACAGAGGCATGTACAGTGGAGTAAAGGTCCTCTGGCCTCGGGGTGGATATCTGGCTGTTTGTGAGCTGGTTCCGGATGCACCGGTGAAGGGTGTAGCTGTAAGTGTTTTTGGAGTGGTGGTGGTGACCATGCCCACATCAGAAGTTCTGGCAACTGCAGCATTACTCGTGCCTCCATTTGAACTGTGGGAAAATGCCCTCTTGGGCTGCTCTCTCTCATGGTCAATCAAACCTTGCTTCATGGCGTCCTCAATCTATACCCCAATCTCATGTAAATCCGCAAAGGTGGGAAGGGGTAAGACGATCATTTTTTGCATTATCTTGGGTTGGAGGTTGCGCACAACCATCCGTATCTGATCCTTGTCGACCGACCTGATGGTCATCATAGAAGCTTTGGCCCTCTAACGGGTTAAAAAGTTGGAGAAGCCCTCTTTCGGCTCCTGTCTAGTTGTCTTGAGATCACGAGTTGTGATCTCGATCTGCGTGTTGTAGGAGTATTGAGCTACAAAGGCCTCAACCATCTCCTCCCAGCTTCTCTTGATAGAATCTTCCAGCTTTGCGTACTAAATAGCCACAACACCCGACAGGTTCCGGCCGAAGAGAGAAAGCTTTTGCAATCTGGAGAGGCCCATTGGCCTTAGGATATCCGAGAACAATCGCAGATGTACCATGGGGTCCTCAGAACAGTCAAAACGGTCTATATGCGACATTTTGAACCGGTCCAGCAAAGTCACCGCCGAATCGGTGTATCCATCCTCTATGTCCGGAATGAAATTAACGCCTTGAGCTTTTTAGAACAGCTTTTCTAACTTGCTCACTTTCAGCGCTGTTAGATCCACCTCAAATTCAAACGGTATATCCACTAGATTAGTCGGTGCTTTGGAAATGTACAAGAATACTTATTAAGATAAAAATAGAAAAAGAAAAATGTACAAGAATACTTATATCAATAATAAATTTCATCAATTAAATATGTAAATTTACACAAACACTAAACACAAATATAAAAATAAAATAAATTATTGAACACTCCTAAAAAAAAAAAGTTTATATATTACTAAAAGTAAATATTAATTTATTTTTTTATACTCGAGTTTGGCTCGATTAATTAACGAGTCTAAAAATCGAGTTCGAACTCGTTCATTTAATAAACGAGCTAAGTTTGAGCTATTTATGAACAATTTGGTTCTTTTGCAATCCTAATTTAGCGAAGTGTTTGCTTGACAAAGCCACATTTTTATTCGAATGTGGCAAACTTTATTTTGTGTTTTCTTTCATGTGCATCTTTGCAACAAATGGGATCAAAAACATAAAACAGTTGATAGGCAAAATAAAATATATACTTTATAGAAATATTTAGATAGGTAAAATGCCTACTACCGTTGGAGATGCTCTAATCATATGCCTAGTGCATTGGAATTGAAAAAAATGAATCACACTAGGCATTTTAACTAACAAGTATTATATGCCTAGTGCATTGGAGATGCTCAGCTAGGAATTTTCATGTATCAAGGGAGAAAA